TCCAAAACAGGTCTCAGTATTCTAGTGCCTTGTAAGATAGAGCAGGTCAAGAAGTTTGTGATCAGTCAAACAGATATCTAGGGCTTTTCCTCTTGCTCACTTTTAAACTAGTGCAGAAGCAGTAATGCCAGTGGACTTGCTCCTAATTCACAAAAACAGCATGGAGCCTTGTTGCATCTTAGGGTACGTCTGCACCCCAGGGCAAAAGTTGAATTAAGCTATACAACTTCAGCTACATCAAGGCTGCGTCTAGACTGGCATGATTTTCCGCAAATGCTATTAACGGAAAAGTTTTTCCGTTAAAAGCATTTGCGGACAAGAGCATCTAGATTGGCACGGACGCTTTTGCACAAAGCACTTTTTGCGGAAAAGTGTCCAGGCCAATCTAGATGCGGTTTTGCGCAAAAAAGCCCCGATCGACATTTTCGCCATTGAGGCTTTTTTGCACAAAACAGTTTTTAGCTGTCTACACTGGCCCTCTTGCACAAATACATTTCCGCAAGAGGGCTTTTTCCCGAACGGGAGCAGCATAGTATTTGCTCAAGAACACTGACAATCTTATATTAGATCGTCACTGTTCTTGCGCAAATTCAAGCGGCCAGTGTAGACAGCTGGCAAGTTTTTCCGCAAAAGCGACTGCTTTTGTGGAAAAACTTGCCAGTCTAGACGCAGCCCAATTGTATAGCTGAAGTTGAAATAGCTTAATTTGTCTTTTGGCGCTGCCTACACAGCAGGAGGTCAAAGGACGAACACCCTTCCTTTGACTTCCCTTAATCTTTGCGCAATGAAAGTTACAGGAGCCAGAGTAAGAAGTCCTTCATTTTGACGTTATTTTGAAATTTGCTGTGTAGACACGCACTATGTTATTTCAGAATAACATTGTTTTTCTGAAATAACGCTGCTGTATAGACATAGCCTTAGGCTGTGTCCAGACTCAGGGGGTTTTTCCGAAAAAGTAGCCTTTTTCCGAAAAAACTTCACCTGCGTCTAGACTGCAGCCGCCTTCTTTCGAAATTAAATCGAAAGAACGCGGCTTTTCTTTCTTCTTTCGACAGTGGTAAACCTCATTTTACGAGGAAGAACGCCTTTTTTCGAAAGTGCTCTTTCGAAAAAAGGCGTTCTTGAATGCAAACAGGGGTTTTTCAAAAGACAGCATCCAGACTGCCTTTCGAAAAAGCGGCTTGCTTTTTCGAAAGTTCCGCTTGCAGTCTAGACACTCTTTTTCGAAAGAGGCTTTTTCAAAAGTATCTTTCGAAAAAACCTCTTTCGAAAGAGGCTTGCAGTCTAGACATAGCCTTAGAGACTAACAGATTTATTAGGGCATAACCTTTCTTGGGTAAAACCCACTTCATCAGATGAGTTGGTGTGGAAGCTACAGAAGCAGGGGTGTATAGATAAGGAAGAAGTTGCTTGTGGTAATGAAGCTAATCAAGTCAGGATGGAAGTGGGTTATTCACAGCATTTGGTGGGGAGATGTGAATATCTTAGAAAGGGGACATACCCTTTGTAATGCATTAACCTGTTTAGATCCTTATTCAGTCCTAAATTGATCATGTTGAATTTGCAAATGAACACCAGAATTTTTGTTGTTGTTACCTTTGATTGTGGAATAAATGTTGCACTTTTTGCATAGTTAAGTGGGGTTGTGGCCAGTATTCCCTGTAAGCCTAGTGGTTGGGTGGCCATCCAGGAGAGATTCAAATGCCACCCAGCTGATTAGCAGGGCACCCACAGCTGGCAACATGTGGTGCACATGCTCACATGCTTCAGTGCATATAACAAAATTTATTCTTCACATGGAAAGGAAAAAAATGCACTTTGGTTGTGGCACTTTATGTTTTCTCATTTACTCTCCCCAGTATGGGAGAAAAGAGTTTATTAAAAGTAGCAAGTGGCAAGAGGGCAGCTAACAACAGTAGGGAGTCACAGGGGCAGTATTTCATAGGGTTGATTAGAAGCTGGAATTAGTGAGAACAGCAGAGTTGGCCTTTCCAACAATTGGGGAGGGAGGGACTGGAATCAATACGAAAAATTAAGCCCCCAAAATGTTTTTGAAAAGCGTCTCTGTAGCAGCCAGTGCCCCGTTGCACTATGTGGAATCAAACTATGGCTACAAACACAATTCCAACACAAATGCCGCATTCCCTCCAGGAAGAAAGCATGTGAAGGTATGATCTCCAATGGCTGACCACAGGGAAACAGTTTGCTTCATATATATCATGCAGCTGGTTTAGTAAAAAGGGCTCTGTGCCTGGAAAGGCAAGGAGGACCCAGCAAAATAGTGAAAGTCATTTTCTTTCTTCCTCCTTTTGAGAGAAGTGGTAATTAAAACTTTCCCATACACGAGGACAAGAGAGTGTCCCACAAAGACGCCTTTTTCAGCATTTTTCAAATGAGATCAGCCAGCCACACACGCTGTGCTGAAAAAACCTGGGCTTTGAGTGAACTATACAATAAAATAGCCTGTCAAATTCACGGTTTGATCTCTTTCCATAAACTGCTTGCCCGAGAAAGGATTTGTTCTGATTAAAGCTTTTCAGGATGAGGTTCCCTCCTGGAAAAGCTTGCCAGAGAAGTTTTCAGCATTGCCCTTGTAAAACATGGGATTATTTTAAACAGCTGTTTACTTAAAAATGATAAATTAGGCCAGAAAAGCACAAGAAAATCCAGTGGGGGAAATGATTTCTTATGTTCACCAAAGAGAGGAGGAATCATTAATAGTTATGAGTGAGTGACTCCATTTTTCATTAACGTAACCTAACTAAGCAAAATTGTGGGTGAGTTTCCGATTTTAATGCCTTCCCTTGTCTACATCACTGCTCCTTTGAACGCCTCTGTCTCCATATTCTTTTGCCAACTGTTGGCTTGAGAACTTTCTCCTCTACTGCTTTTGCCTTCTGGAACAGCTTTAGCTAGCTCATGACGTTTTTTTTAATCTCACTGGAATATCTTTGTCTCCCTTGTCCATGACTCTTGTTCTCTCTTGACCTGCAGTTATCAGTTGTGTAACTGGGATCCATCTTCCCTGGAAAATATACCAAACTGAGGGTACGTCTATACAGCAACATTATCTCCAAATAACTAACACTATTCTGAAATAACTTAGTCTGCATCTACACAGCAGGCAGTTATCTCGAAATAGTGTCAAAATATTGTCAAGCTGGAGGACTTCTTACTCCGACTCCTGTAACCCTCATTATACAAGGAATAAGGGAAGTTGGAGGAAGAGTGCTCTATTTCAAAATAAGTGCTGTGTAAACGCTCCCTATTTTGAAATAAGCTATGCAATTGATGTAGCTCAATTTGCATAGCTTATTTCAAGTTAAGCTCTGTAATGTAGATGCACCCAAAGTTGTTCTGTTGTTTAGGAAATCAGTATGGGTGCATCTAGACTGGCAAGATTTTGCGCAAAAGCAAAATCTTGCCGCCTGTCTACACTGGCCGCAAGTATTTTCGCAAGAACACTGACTTTGTACTGTAAAAAATCAGTGGTTCTTGCACAAATACTCCGATGCTCCCACTCAGTGATAAGCCCTCTTGCGCAAGGTTAATTTCTTGCACAAGAAAGCCCGATGGCTAAAATGGCCATCGGAGCTTTCTTGCACAAGAGAGTGTCTACACTGGCATGGATGCTTTTACACAAAAGCAAATCTTTTGCGCAAAGGCACATGCCAGTATAGACGCTTTCTTGCGCAAATACTTTTAACGGAAAACCTTTTCCGTTAAAAGTATTTGCGCAAAATCATGCCAGTCTAGACGCAGCCTATATGTATAGAGTCCATGTGTAAGGACAGAGGTCAGTCCTAGTGAAGTGTGTTTACACAGAGAGTGAACCGTAGCAATTGGCCTGTTATAATAACATTTACAATGGAGAACTGAATTGTGACACACTTAGAGCTCATTGGGGATTTTGAAATAGCACATCTATGCCACAGGAAAGTCTCAAAATTAGTCTGAGGCAGGCTTCCCTATTATGGATGTGTTACCTCGATTTAGAGCCCCAGGAAGCACTGGGGTGTAACTACTCTGAATGGCCCTAGGAAGAAGCTATTTCAAAATAGCAGCAAAGGAGTGTCCACATTACTGCTATTCCTAAATAGCTATTTCAAATTAGGCGCTATTCCTCATGGAATGAGGTTTACAGAAGTCAGAATTACTGTGTAGATGCTCATATTGTTATTTCAGGATAACGGCCATATTCCAAAATACCGCTGCTGTGTAGACGTACCCTTAGAGTTCAACAAGTTGTATCTGGTATGCCCAGCCCCTTAAGTACATTTGTTTTAAATATAAAACATATGGTGAATCTGATGTTTATATCCCTCTGCTCCCACCCTTTTCCTCTGCCTAGCGATTATGCCCGTTGACATTTTGTCTACGAGGTAAGGATCACTGGTTAAGAGCTCAACAGGTTTGCGGTAAGCAAATAGAAAAAGTTACCTCTGTCATTTCAGTATTCCTTTATACTTTTCTATTTACAGTGTAGAATATTCCTCGTACTGCAAACACGCACCTTAGGGGAAAGTTCTAGAAAATTACTAATGATTAATCCAATGGAGTTTCCTAAAAATTTACTCAGTATTTATGGAATGTAATGATCTTTCTATGTTTTGTGTTCTGTCCTAGCTGGTTATGACTCTCTGGACAAGTCTATGGTTCAAAAAGATGTACATATGGGCTAGTACGTATTATATTCTATAGATTTTTCCATAAGAATGAGGTATATTCCTTTGTAATTGCCTCTTAGGCTGTGTCTAGACTACATGCCTCTGTCGGCAGATCGGCAGAGGGAAACGATTTAAATAATCGCGGCTTCATTTAAATTTAAATGGCTGCCCCGCTCTGCCGATCAGCTGTTTGTCGGCAGAGCGGGGCAGTCTAGACGTTCCCCTGTCGACAGAAAACCCTTTTGTCGTCCGCCCCGTTATGCCTCGTGGCATGTTGTCTAGACGTACCCTAAGCTTCTGTCTAGAAGTGATACATGGAGTGTCAATCCAGATTTTCAAACCCCAGAGACATTTTATTCACAGAATTTGCTCTCCTTTGTGTCAATAATCCAGGTTTAGGAGCAATTATTGAAAGCTGTTACAGTGTGGCTCTGGTCTAAAGCCAATAGAAGCTGTTACAATATAAAATAACAAACAATTACAATTCAGTTGTTGCAGTACCAGTATCATTTGATATCAATATGTACAATTATAGGTTGAACCTCTACAATCCAGACTTCTCTAGTCCGGCTACACCCCTGGTCTGGTATCATCAGCAACCCAGTGGAAGCACTCCCCAGGACAAACCAGCAGGCTCAGGCCAGAAGCATTGCCAAACTAGGGAGCCAGGGGGCAGCAGAATCTCAGGCTGGCATTGACCTCCCTGATCCGGCAAATTCCCTGGTTTGGAGTAGGTCAGGTCCTGATGGTGCCGGACCATGGAGGTTCAACTTGTAGAATGCGATACAATAACAAATACCTCTAGTATCATACTGCTAAAAGTGAGACCTATGCAAAACTGTCCCTATGCTTGTAGTAGGAAGAGATGGAGAAGTCCAAGGAGTTATATAGTTCATCCTTTGTCAATGAACAACTGCTCTATTTTCTGCTGCTAGGCTGGAGGTGGATGAATCTAGACTAGGCGCTTGGGCTTCCATCACTCCTCTGAAAAAGGGATTCCCTCGTCTAATGATAATGAAACTGAGGAAGAGTTCAGTATTGTTCTAGAGGCAGAAGCTATAGCAATAGTATACGATTTTATTCTATTCTCCCCTGATAGATAACATGGCAGGATTCCCACTGAAGGGATTTGCATCTTTCAGCACCTTGTACGGTTTTGCTCAGGTACTGGTGACCCATAATAATGGCTGAAAAAATAAAGCACAGGTGGACAAACGAGCCATTGCTCCAGACTGTTTTTAAGCATGTCCCATATGATTCTCATTACTTGTGGGTCAGCTCTCTTGTAATTCCTCCAACTGTATTTTTTACCCCTGTTGTGAGACATCCGACTTCAATTCAGACACACCAGTTATCCAGTGCGAAATGGCTCAGACAGTAACATAGGAATATAGGTGAGAGAGGATGACTAGGTATTATGTGCATGCCGTCTGGTTTTATGAGCACTGTTTTATGCTTAGAATTCTATGCCTCCATACAAAAATCCAGTGCAGCCAGAGAAGAAAGTTTGTATTTGGTGTCCAAGTTGCAATTATGCTCTGGCCAGATGGAACTTTAGTGCAGAAGTTCCCAAGGGACAGAGACCTGTCCAAGGTAGCCCATGCCTCAATCATCATGGGATGAAATCTGCATTTGGAGACAAAAATGGGAGATATTAATGAACAGAAGAATAAATAAAACAAGGAACTGAGGGTGCATAATTAGACATTCTCCTTACAAATTTTTACTCGGGAACTAACTAGTTTCTGTACTTTATAGAACTTAATGTAGTTGGGAATCTGAGAGTCAGGGAGGTATATTGAGGCATTAATATGTCATGTTATTGATACCATGAAAGAACTGAAAGTTGATTGACAAGACATACGAATAACCAAATAGCTCGTTATGAGGAGAAAAAGCCACATAAGGGAAAATAGGGCCAGCCGTATGGAACAGAAGCATCTTTAAAAATCTACTTTGCCTTCTTCAGATGTGGTCCATATAAATCAAGATGAAAAGAAATGCAGATACAGGAAAGTAAAGAAGCCCATTTCCAACTGACAGGGAAGATGAAAATATCCTTCATCAGAAGTCTTGAACCCATTCAACATGGTTACATAGCAGGCCAGTCTATAGACATGACTGCTCTGGAAAAAAAATGGTTATTTTGAGGGGGAAGTGAATTTTATAGACCGGTGGTTCTCTAAGCATGGTCCACGGAGCACTATCTTGCAGGTGGGCCATGGGCTCAGGGATCACCCTCCTCCCTCAGGGTATGTCTATACGAGCCACCCTAGTTCAAATTAGGGTGGCTAATGTAGTCATTCGAACTTGCAAATGAAGCCCGGGATTAAAATATCCCAGGCTTTATTTGCATGTTCCCAGGTGCCGCCATTTTTAAATGCCCGGTAGTTCGGAGTCCTTGCCCGCGACTACACACAGCACGGGCTAGGTAGTTCGAACTAAAGCCCGTAATTCGGACTACCGTTACTCCTCCTGCTCTGACCCCACACCCTCACCCTGTTCTTGCACCCTCTCTTCCACCCATACTCCTCACCCGTGGCCCGTTCCTGCACTCAACTTCCCACCCTGCCCTCCCACCTCAGCTTATTACTGCACTCTACCTCCTGGCCAGACCCTGCAGCCCCACCCCCTTTTGCACCCATTTTGTCTGGTGTTCCGTGGAAAGGTCTGTGTTGAGCAGGGTGGGCCATGGGCCAAAAATTTTGAGAACCACTGTTATAGACTGTAGATGGTCAGTCATGTGAGAAGGCTTCCTGCAGCAGAAGTTGCTTTAATTATGCCAGATTGAACATAAGAACTAGAGCTTAAATTGTTGCTTAACTATGTAATATTTTACATGAGCCAAAGTCAAATATATCCAGTTCAAGGAGGACACAAGTGCCTCGTAATGACAGCCCCTGAAGTGCATTACTGCTCTGCCAAGTGACCATGAGCTCTTCACCGATGGCAGGGTTATGAATTTGGAGGGGTGATGCAACAGAAGCCGGGTAGCATGTCAAAAACATTCATAAGTGCTTCTCGGAAAGAATTCCCAAGTCCGTTCATGAGGTGCACAGACGAGGTCACATCCAAGTGGCTGTAGCGCACCAGGAGTAGTGTTATCTCACACAACCCGCAGCCTCTAAGACCGGCTTTAGTCTGCCACATAATGCCTTTTGCTGTGAGGAAGGCGGGGCAATGTATCTATGGGTGTGTCTAGACTACCTAGTTTTGTCGACAAAAGAGGACTTTTGTCGACAAAACTATACCAGCGTCTACACTACCGCTGAGTTCTGTCGACATAATGTCGACAGAACTCAGCAGTTTTGTCGACGCTGGTATACCTCATTTTACAAGGCATAACACCTTCTGTCGACAGAACTCTGTCGACAGAAGGTATTATTGCCTGTAACATTGCGTCCAGACTACGGAGTTCTGTCGACAAAGCAGCTTGCTTTGTCGACAGAACTCAATGTGTGTGGACGCTCTTTGTCGACGGAAGTTTTGTCGACAGTATCTGTCGACAAAACTTCCGTCGACAAAACGCGGTAGTCTAGACGTACCCTAAGAGAGATATGGACAGATGCGTAAAGAGCAGAGCTATTCCATTGTCACAGGTCAGTCCTACAAATGTTGAACATTCCACAGCCAGTCAGAAGAACGAGGTTTGTGTTAAGTGTTTAGAAAAGAATGTTCTCCAGGACAGGCTGTCCTTGAAGCATGGGGGAAAATAAAATTAAGTAATAATAATAATTAATACAGTTAGCCAGGTAGCCAAAGATATATCAATGGGGCAGCTTCTGAAAGCATCATCATCATATAGCGAATCAGGACGTACCTCTTGTGCTTGCCCTGTAGCATCCAGAGAAATCACAACCACCTGGGTAGCCGGGTGCCCCGGGATGGCCTCTGGCACCAGGAAAACCTGGAGGACCGGTGCTCCCAGGGGAACCTTTCAGACCTGGGTTTCCTATGACTTGTTCTCCTGGAGCGCCTGAAAAATGAATGGGCTCTCAAAGGCTACGTCTACACTGGCATGATTTTCCGGAAATACTTTTAACGGAAAAGTTTTCCATTAAAAGCATTTTCGGAAAAGAGCATCTAGATTGGCACAGATGCTTTTCCGCAAAAGCACTTTTTGCAGAAAAGCGTCCGTGCCAATCTAGACGCGCTTTTGCGCAAAAAATGCCCCGATCGCCATTTTAGCCATCGGGGCTTTTTTGCGCAAAACAGTACTGTGCTGTCTACACTGGCCCTCTTGAGCAAATGATTTGCACAAGAGGGCTTTTGCCCAAACAGGAGCAGCACAGTATTTCCGCAAGAACACTGACGATCTTACAGGAGATCGTCAGTGTTCTTGCGGAAATTCAAGCGGCCAGTGTAGACAGCTGGTAAGTTTTTCCGCAAAAGCAGATGATTTTGCGGAAAAACTTGCCAGTCTAGACACAGCCAAAGAGTATAGTATAACTCTGCTCCTCCTATGCCACCAGGATCCTCAGGCATGAAGCAGCCAGCCACTTCAGGGCAGCCCCACACTGCTTTAAGCAGGTGGCTGTTCCCTGTGGCTCTCTGCCCTAGACACCAAGGAGAGACTTTATGGAAACCAGCCAATGGAAGCTGAGAGATTTTACTAGGGTTGAGGTCAGCTCACAAATCCTCCCCCTCCCCCGATGCCCAGAACAGAAAGCCACAGGGAGCAGCCAGCTATTTTGAGCAGCCTGAGGCTGCAGTAGGCAGGGATCCTGCCTTGGGGTCCTGCAGGGCTGGTGGCTGTGATCCACCTAGGTAAGCTCCTCCTGGCCACAGTCTGCCGCTGGCACTCCAGGCCCTTCCTCCCCCAACTCCCTGTCCCAGGTCACCATCCAAACCCTCTGCACCCCCCTCTCCTCCTTCCCAAGATCACAACTCCCTCTCAGACCCCACACATGCCTCTTACATCCCTGAGCCAGAATCCTTTCCTGCACCCACTCCTGTATCCTGTTGCCCAAGTCCCTGCCCCAGATCACAACCCCCTCCTTCACCCAAACTCCATCTCAGACCTCAACCTTCTCCTGTGCTCCAGTTCCTGACCCTGAGCTCCCTTCTGCACCCAACCTCCATCCCAGACCCTGAAGCTTCTCCACAGAAAGATACAGCTCTTGACCAGCTCTTGGAGTGCTCCCCCACCATCAAAAATTATTGCCCACCCCTATACTAGACTCAGATTTAGGCTAATCTGTTCCTTATGAGTTGGAGCATTCGGTACACGGCTGTTGCAAGCTATGCTCAAGCTATGTGTTCAAACACAGCTGAGAGGACAGATGAAGAGTCAATGTTATAACTGAAACCACAAGATTGGATTCACTGTACCAGCTCGTCCTCTGGGTCCCTGGATTCCTTCCTCACTGGCTCCAGGCAGGCCTTTCTCACCCTGGCGTCCAGGACTTCCTGTTTGAGCCGAGAGAGGTGTCACTTACCAGAGCATCACAGTTCCCCTGAATTAACACCTGCTAGTCCCCACATGCTGGCTCTTAGCCACTATGGTCTTTTAGAAAGTTGTGATCTTCAGTACCACACATCAACTCAAGATCTCCTCCTTTAACCCCTCCCATGCGGCCTTGTATATGTATCCTTGGGCATCCCTTGGCATTGGCCCCGAAACGGCACTATGCCCCTACACAGAGAATTTAAGTTTGTGGCTATTTTATCAAGCTGTGACTATAAATCAAGTCATCTTTCACTATTGTCTACACCTGCTCTGGAAGGGCCATGCGGTGCACACAGACAGCGTTAAGGCGTGGGTAACCCCTTGCTGTTGAAGGCCATTTTAGTGGCGCTATTGTGGAGCGTCCTCATCCATCTGCATTGTGCTGCTGCACCTGCAGCCTTCTGTGTTTCAGAGCCAGTCTTCCTGACCCCTTCCAGGCCTGCCTCCCTCACCCACCTCTTCCCACCACCAGGGACCAGCAACGAACTGCAGCTCTCAATCGCTAACGCTATGTCTATACTGGCACTTTACAGCACTGTAACTTCCCGGCATTAGGGGTGTGAAAAAACACCCTCTGAGAGCAGCAAGCTACAGCGCTGTAAAGCACCAGTGTGAACCAGGCTACAGCGCTGGGGGCCGTGCTCCCAGCACTGTTAGCTACTCCCGTTGTGAAGGTGAGTTATGTAGAGCTCTGGCAGAGCTTTCTCCCAGCATGCGTGCTGTGGCCACACTTTCAGGTCAAAGCCCTGCCGTGGCTGTGCTTGACACTTTTAGTGCAGACAGAGTGATAGGTCTTGCTGCTTAGGGAGGGCTGGCTGGAAATCAGCAATTCCCCTGTGTGAAATGTTTTGAGGGAACCTGTTTTCATTCTGATGAGGGCTGAAACTGAGACCTTGCAACTGTCTAATTAAGACACTGGCCCTGGGATGTGTTAGACACAGGTTCAAGTCCCTGTTCTGACTCTAATCTGAGTCTCCCATGTTCCAGGTCAATCTCCTGACCTCTAGGCTAATGAGTTAGTCTCACCTCCCTGATGCAATGGTTAGACTAACCCACTAGGACCTGAAGAAGAGCTCTGTGTCGTTCAAAAGCTTGTGTCTCTCTCCAATGGAAGCTGGTCCAATAAAAGAGTGGACCTCTCCCACCTCATGCTTCCACAAGGCATTTCTCTTGAGGAAATCGCTTTTTGCAACAAAAGTTTTGGCAAAGAGATTTTTACCGGCTCTACGGTCCCCTAGGCAAAGAATAGATAGAACCTATTCTTGCCTAGGGGATCCATCTCCTCACGACCTGCTGGAAGAGTTGCAGGTTGCTACATCTCCTCGCTTAATTGTTTTGATAAGCCTTACATTTACAGGCCAGACCTGAATGACTAATGGACTCGAGCCAGGGCCTGCTCTTCAGAAGGGTTAGACAGCCACCAAAGCCAGAACAATTTCCATTAATGTACAAGATTCTCCAACAACTACAAAAATACCCACTCAGGCATCATTTCTAAATGTTAACAGTTGGCTTTGCCTCTCCTACCCTAAAAAACATATGGGACCTGCTTCTGAGTCAGGGCTCTTTTGTGGGAATACATGCTTCGGAGAAGGGATAGCAGGAATCACCAGACAAGCCTAGGACTTGCACTGCAGGATACATTTCAATTCACAGTTCGACATTATCATTTACAAGTTTGACACTATTAACTTGGGCTTGAATAAAGATATTAACTGGTTAAGGCACTAGAAAGGCAATTTTCTTCACCTTTGATATTCACATTTACACATCTAAAGCTATGAACAGGACACATCCAACCTGACTCAATTAGCTTCATTAACACTGGTCTTACAACGGACAGGTAACTGCTTTTGCTGTTATATATACTCTGGATTCTGTATTTCCACTCCAATTCATCTGATGAAGTGGGTTTTACCCACAAAAGCTTATGGTTTATTTGTAAGTCTCCAAGGTACCACAGGAATGCTCGATGTTTTTAAAGTTACAGACTAACATGGTTCGTCCTCTGAGACTCAGTGCGCAGAGGGGTCCTTTGCGTCCTTTGCATCCCTAGCAAATATAGCTGCTTGCCCTAAATGTCCTTTCAACTGGACTGAGACACAACTTCAGTTATTAAGCTGCCGCATGGGGGATATTTTTCTTGTAGTGGAAAGAAAAAAACATTTTTCTTTTTACTTTTTCAAACCATCTCTTGTGTGAAAACAGCTGGTCAGCACAGTTAGAAGATCGCTTTAGTGCCTGCTCCCCTCTGGTTCTCCTCAAGATGGGGGAGAAGGGCTGCCCCAGAAGCAAACTTGCTATTAAGGAATTACTCTCCTACCACAGCTGGCTTTTCTAGAGAAAAGTAAGGAGCTACTAAAAGGGAGGGGGGACCAGAAACGATGGAGTCTCTTCCTTTGAGTGCTCTTGACAGATTTGGGTTGCTGTGTGAGTGGCAGTGTGAAACATGCCAATTAAACCACAACCTTTGACTAAAATGCGACATGAAAAAGCATCTCCCAAAAGGCGGGAGAGGCTCTCTTTGCAGATGCACACAGCCCTTTCCTTTGCTTTTGCTCCCACGGGTTTCATCTTGAATAATGCTGCCGGGGCCTCTTTGGAGCTGTAGCCAGAAGATTCTTCTAACAGCCTTACCATTAATACACCCGTCTATTAAAACAAAGATGGCTGCCAGGAGGATGACGACGCCAAGATTTGTCACGTAATTAAACAAAAGTTCCAGCAGCGCTTTCTTCTGACTAGGGCAGGAGCTTTAAATTTGAGGCCAAGAGACCAGAGATAAGAAAATATTCTCTCCAAAGCCCACGAGTTCTACTCCAAAAGCAGCCAGCGAGTTGTTTTGCCTCTTGGGAAGGGAGAGGGGGGAAAGAAGCTTTGCACATTGCTCTCATTCCTATGCTAGAAAAAAAAAAAAAGACTGTGGCTCCATGTGCTGGCAGTTTTATTTAGTCCTTATATTGACTTTTACAGGAAGTTCTGACCATGCAAAACTTCCAAATTTGGCCCAGGCAATTCCTTTTGTGCTGGCCCAAGAGGCAGTTTTATGAAGTCTATTGTACTCAGAAAGAATGAAAACCCACTTTGGATGGTGGGTAATGCTGCCTGGGCAGAAGGCTTTTTGTTGATGAACACTTACGGTGCATGAATGTCTAGAGGCATCCGTCAGAACTGCACTCTCTGGTGTGCACAAACATGCAAGGTCCCTGTCCCCAAAGACCTTACAATTGGTGACAGGTAACAATACAGTGAATGGCACAAAGAGATACGATTACAGCCTGGAATCCTTCCTGCCCCATAAAACTGTGCTTCAAGGCTTCCCCCCCCCCCCCAATATCCTCTGGGGCAGTCTTTGCGTGGCATGGAACGGTAATTGTCTTATACCAGTCAGCCACTCAGCGGCAACATGAGAAAAACAACGTATTGAAGCTAACCTCACCCCCACCTGGCAAAGAGTTAAAGCATCTGACAATGAACACACCTGGTGTGTGCACACAAGTCCCATAGCCAGTCTATATCTGGTACTACCTGTCCCCAGTCCTATAAGTGCCTGTGGGGGAGGGATCCTTTTAGCTATCCCCTTGTGTGTATTTCCCCAGCTATCCAATAGCACTCCAGCCAGGGGAGATGCTCTGGCTTTTGTTGGGCAACGTAAGGGTTAAATAACGACCTGGGTAACTGTTACCATGGTAATGAGGAAATGTGGCACAGGCAGGCACTCGTCCTTTTGCTTGATAGACAAAGTTTTGCAACCCTTCCTCTCCCTTCCTGCTTGCTAAGGGCAGCTGCACAAGGAATGTGGCCAGCAAATGGATATCCAGCGTGTGTAAGAGGGGCTAGCTCCCCTCTCTCTTCCTTTCCCCAGCTCCATAAAGTTGCTCAGGAGCATGGTTGCTGCCCCTCCTCCCTGCATAAGCTGCTGATTAAGAGCTGCTCTTCTTTCCTTCCTAACAGCTTTGTTCTTAACACACCTCCAGAGGTTTCCACCTTGTTTTCCCCCTGTAGCCATCATCCAATGGCTGATTTCCTAGATCTGACAGAGGTGGGACCTGAATGAGGGAAATGGCAGATCACCTCAGGAAAAGTGTTCCACACGGAAGGGGCAATGTGAAGAGATGTGAAGAGTCATCCGCAAAGCTGAGGAGGGGAGGGTGGTAAGCAGTGAGTGGCTCACAGCTACTTGGGAGATCCAGTTAAAGAACGGGTGCTGAATTTGCTAAACAGACATCATGCCAGAATGAGACGTTTGGTTCCAAAGTGGAGGGGAATGGCGTATAGATATCCAGGCAGACCAGAAAGGCACTCACACCCAGGAATACTGGGCAGATATTCCACTTCTTTGCAATATTCATGAGGTGAGTCTGGCTCCAAGTGTCTTTGAACCATGAATGTGTAGTCAGTCCTGAAAGTACTGGGCTGCATAGTCTGCTCATTGCTACAGATAAGAGCTGAATAAACCCTCTGATCCAGTAACCTCTAAAACTTTGTGGACATATGGATCCTAAAGGGATCACTGTGGTTGGTGTCTATATATATATAAAGACCTGTGCTTTGAGGCTTATTTCATATTTATCTGGTACAAGAGGTTATTTTAGGTGCATAAGCCACCCTTCGTTAGCCACTATGTCTGAAAATATAAAGGCCATGGTAAAGCGCTGCTTAAGAGTATTTCAATCAGTACCTCTTTCACCAGGATACCCATCTTTGCCCTGCTGTCCTGGGATACCATCTTCTCCTTCTTCTCCTCTAGTACCAGCGGTACCCGGAAGACCTGGTGGTCCGGGTACGCCTGGCTTCAACATGTCCTCCCACATGGGAACCGGCTTCCTTGTATGTTCATGGATGAATGAGTCGAATTTCAAGACATGAGCTGAGAAGGCAAGTCAGAAAATAAACAGCCTCATCTGTATGCCAGAAGAGATGCTAAGATGAGCAAAAGGCCTCAGGTCAGGACCTCATGAATTAACCTGTGTGGATAAAATAAGATAGGTCCAAGAGCCTTTTGTCCACTCTTGGGCCATGCCCTAACCTTTGACCAGGCTTAGGAAAGGTTCTGTAAGTTCTTTCGATCAGAAAAATAGAGTTCAAGTGTGTCAAATGTAGAGCTATGAAATAGAGGATTAGGTTTGGAGCCAAGTTGGAGTCAGCGTGTGGTTGAGAGGCAATAGTGCTAACACACCCCACAAACTATTGGCTGTGTCTATTCAAGGTGCTCCTCTTCCCTCCTCCCTGCCCTGTAGCCTCCTCTGGATCCAAAATTACCACAACATTTAATTCCCAGGTCTGAGGTTGAAATGCATCACCGAGCCCTTGAAATCCTAAGGCATTTAGAAGTGAAGTTCTCATTTTGGACCATTTTTAGTTTCACATTTACAGTTTGGATGCTATAAGGTTATAAATTACATAATGTACATAGCAGAGAGAAGGCAATACTACAGTCAGTCTTAGAAGTGCAACGTACCACTGAGACCAGAGAAAGGATGATTTGGGTTTGAAAAAAATTACCACAGGTGGAACCTCTCTAGTTTGGCCCCCTTGGGATCTAACTGGTGCCGAACCAGAGAATTTGCCAAACCACAGGAAGTCAATATTGTCTAGCAACATTACCAACACTCCCACTGCTTACTGGGAGGCTGTGTCTAGACTACACCTCTCTGTCAATAGAGAGATGTAGATTAGGCACGTCGAAATTGCTAACGAGGCTGGGATTTAAATATCCCACACTCTATTAGCAAAAACATGGCCACCGCTTTTTTTCAAAATGGAGCTTTTTCAAAAAAAATAGCAGTCTAGATGCGGATCTTTCGAAAAATAAACCCTTTTTCGAAAGATCCTGTAAATCTCATTTTTTGAGGAATACAGGATCTTTCGAAAAAGGGTTTATTTTTCAAAAGATCCATGTCTAGACTACCCTTTTTTTCCCCAAAAAAGCTCCATTTTGAAAAAAAATGGTGGCCATGTTTATGCTAATGAAGCACGGGATATTTAAATCCCAGCTTCATTAGCAATTTCAATGTGCCTAATCTACATCTCTCTCAACAGAGAGGTTTAGTCTAGAAGTACCCTTAGAAGACATTGAGAGGTAAATTAGAGCTACACAATGGCACACTGAAAGCCAGGACTGGTGACTGTAAACAAACTTCATGGGACCACGTGAAACTTGGCCACTCCCATGATAGGCGGATATCTGGCTAACTAAATCATACCAGATTATGGATGTTGCTGGACTACAGAGTGCCAGACTAGAGAGGTTCAGCCTGTAGCTGGAAACACTGTAGAGTTTTCAAAACTACGGCTTGGCTGGTTGAGAGCCACTTCTGTTTTGTCTGCATGACAAAGTTTGGGGCGGGGGGAGTAGTGAAAGTTGTTCCAGTATTGGTTCACACCTATTTTCCATAGAATCAAGCCAAACTATGGAAACATTTGCTATTACAGAATCTTCTCCATTTCTGGTTTTATTGTACAAAACTCACATCAGGATGAATGGGTGGTCTGGTTTCATTCTGCATGTTCTGATTTTGCCCCATATCTAAAAAGCTTTGGGTATGAATAAAAATCACCAGGTGCTATGAAGTTGTCAGTCTATGCTACAGGGGTCATGTACTGAAGAGGAAGACTCTGCTGAGGAATGGTCTCGTTATCTGACCTTGGGCAAAACACTAACTAGATCTCCCTGTGCGTCAGTTGACCCTAAGCAACCTTGCTGATAACTCTTCATCCACCTAAAGGTGAACACTCAGTTCCTTAGTTCATTCCACGATCCAGGCTGCATCATCTGATCTGAGCTCTCCAAATTCCCCACACACCCCTACGCACCCACTCCAAATCAAGTCCCATGTTCTTCTCTGCTGTAGAAATGGAGGGATCCAGCGGTGGAGTAGGAGGGACCTGGTTCCCAGGGAAGCTAGAGGCTTCCTGACTTAGAGCAGGGCTGAGGAAAGGCAGGCAGAGCTGGGAAAGCTCTGGCCAGGCGAACTCCCAGGCTGCTGGACCTGAAGCAAGGCCTGAGGGTACTAAGGGACACAGCCAGGGCAGTGGCAGGTCCACAGCCCCTTGACAACGAGTGGCCATTTCAGACTGCAGTTTGCCCCTGAGGTAGGGGCTAGATGACGACTGGCTGTGGGTCATTGAGGCAAGGTGGGCATAGGGGGTTGAGGGTTCCCTGAGGAGGAGGACCCCAGTGTGTGTGGGCCCTATGAGAGAGCAGTACCCAGAAGAGTTGATGCCACAATCTGAGTCCTAACACAAAGTGGCGGAGCAAATACAAGGTAACAGCAGGCCTGACACCTGCCAAAAGGTGGGGGCTCCAGGGCTGAACGGCTAATTCCCAGAGTGACCAGCAGGAGGCGCTGCAGTGGTGAGTCCCACCATGTTACAATGAGGCTCTTCTTTATGTGATGAAACTTCAAGAGCCTTAGAAGCACTACTGCCCAACGAGACATGTGATACTTACTCTGAATCATCCGCTCACAAGCCTGGCTAACCAGCTGGTAAATTGTGGCCAGCGATTGAGGTTCACCCTGGTGTAAAATGAAAAAGAATTAAATATTTTGAAATAAAGTGGATAGAATTAAGTTTTCTGTTGGCACATTCTTACCAACAGCTTGAGCTATAGAGATATTCATCTCTATCAGAGGACTCTATTTAGACATCCAAAGGCTTTGAAGCAATAAAATCTTAATTGGTAAATATCAATATTTTTGTTTTTCCCTGCACCCACAAATTGATTAAATAAATTTCCAGTCATTAATAAATGAAATGAACTGCAATTAAAGAGTATAGTTGCATATCTGTTTCTATAGCTTAAAGGTTGATAACAGTGTGTCTAGCACATAAGCCAGTATTCAGTGATATTTAAAGTTAATGATTAAATATTAATTAAATATTACAATTGGATGTCTTTGTGAATTTTTTATGAATGAATCTTAACTCCTACAGTCATGGGACAATAAATAATAATCGCTTTCTGAGGGGTTTTTTTTCCCCTTAAAATTTTTGTACAGCAGGATATAAGCAACTTGGACATAAACACTGATGTATGAACATTCATAACCCTATGACAACTGAACCCTGGCAGGTCTCTTTATAAAGCTTCCAGCTGTGGCTGGTACTGTTGTGATCAATATGCAATTCAGTACAGAATGAAATAAAAACTGGACACAAGGGCCAAGGGAAACAGTCAATCTCAACCCCAAAACGTTCCAAACAGGAAAAGCTGGTGAAAAGGGGAGGTGATGAAATGAACACTCAAGTATCGACTTCAAATGGAAAAATCTTGCACCCACACTCAAAGAACATTGCAAAGAACAGCCTATGGGGCCAAATCTCAGAGGCGGGGTCAATTGACTTGGGCTCCCAGGACTTAGTTTGTGGGGCTGACAGTAGCAATGTAGACATTCCTCCTCCAGCTACAGCCACGCTTTGAAACCCAGTGAAGAGGGACGGTCTCAAAGTCCAGGCTCCTGTCTGAATGAGAATGTCTACACTGCTATTTTTAGCCTCGCAGTGCAATCCAAATCAATTGACCTGAGTGCCGAGAATTGGTGCAGAGTATTTTTCCTTTACAATGTGTATGTAACCACAGACCATCGCAAAGGGAACCCAGTAAGAAAGAGGTCTGTATCAGAGGCTTCTAAGGGCATAAGCCAAAGTCCATTGAAAGGAATGGGATGAATTCCATTGATTTTCAATCAAGTCCTGTGTGAGGAGAAACATCATGGCACATTCCATATTTGCATCACCTACGGGCCAGGCTTGAGTTTTTCCAGTTCTCATGTGTAATTTACTGACTGTCTGCATGCTGGTACAAGAGCTGTGTGGACTCTCTGCCTACATTTACACTTCAGTGCTATTTTGGGATACCCGAGGTATCCTGAAATAGTTATTCCACGTCTTTTGAGTGCACCTGTTATTTCGAAATATAATGGGCTCTCTAGTCCGACGTCCCTGTAAACCTCATTCCACGAGGGATGTTTCAGAATAGCGATTTATTTCTAAATAAGTGCTGTGTAGATAGCGCCAAATTTTGAAATAAGCTATTTTGAAATAACATCAAAATAAGATACGTAGCACAAATTGTGTATCTTATTTCAACCTATGAGTGCACTGTAGACGCACCCTCTGGCACCCGGCATTACCTAGCACCAAAAAAGAGGCTAAATAACAGAGTGAAAATCAACTAAGTCATTTAAGAGCTTAAATGAAATTGAATTATCTTCAAAGGTGCCTAACTCTCATTGAAATCAAGGTACCATAGGTGCCCAAATACTTTGGAGGGTCTGGGCCTAAGTGCTCGAGTTACCCTTGAAAATGGGATTCAGGCACTTTTGAAAATTTGAGGCAGAATTACCAGGTAAAAATTTGCTTCTCAGTAGTTAAATCCAGGGTCTCAGCTAGTATAAATCCTCTGATTTCAGTGGAGCTACAGCTATTTACAGCAGCTGTGGATCTGACCCACAAAATTTTGTTCTGAGTTAGTCAATTATTATGCAGTACATTTTTATAGAAAAATCCTTCCTGGGAGTCAAGCCATTGGTGAGCTCTCTCCCTCTCCCCCCGCCCCTCCCCCGCAATTTCCAAGACTGTTTGTTGCAATATGATGTCAGGTTCTCAGGGAACAGTCATTCAGGTGAATGGAGAGTTAAGACGTGCAAGGGCAAAGAGGTGATTCGGCACTGAAATAGCTTAATCATGTCCCTGTCCCCTAGTGTACACTACCCTTTCAGAGCTGAATTCAGTAACTGCTCTGCACAACATAAAGAACTACAAGGAGAAAAAACTCACTTTCTCTCCCCTTTCCCCCTTTGGACCAGGCAGACCCTGTAGAGAAAACAGAACCAAAATAAACAGAACTACTTTTTAAGCCGTGAGGAGGTGAAAAATGAAAAGCAAAAGGTCAATTTAATAAAAGCAGCATTATTACAGTACTTGACCATTGTCATGCTCAAGTGAAAAGCCAGCGGGATGTTTATGGGCTAACTCCAAATTAAGGATCATGTTTTCAGGGCAACATTTCAGGTGCTCCTTCCAAAGTGTGGTCTCTGCCATTTTTCAAAAGAATGCTGTAACATGATTATGCAAATGAAGTGTGGGATATTTAAATCCCCACTTCATTTGCACTTTCGATCTGCCTAGTTTACATACCTCTTTCAAAAGAGGGATGTAATCTAGACATAGACTATATGTAGAGCCCTGCAAATCCATGGATATCCACATTATATCTGTGGATTTTTGCAAATATGGATGCAGATACACATTTTGTATTTAGAACCCTGCAAATCTGTGGATATCTGCTTTCTATCCAGGAATATCCATATCCTTGGATGTCAATGTGGCTATCTGTGCCTCATTTTTGCGGATACAGATCCGGATGTGGATACAAATTTTGTATCCACACAGGGCTCTATGTAAATGCATAGCCCTATTTGTTGATATCTTATAGTTGTAAAGCACAGAAGTATGCAAAATGCATGTACAAATTGTGCCCCGATATTGCAGCATTTACTCTCTGTCATGTGAAGTCATCTGCTGTATCGGGGCACAATGGGGAGGAGTTAAAAGATGCAATTCCAGTCATAAACTCGGAAATCTATTTTTTCCCCCATCACTCCCAGATGATTTACACTGACTCTCTTTCACATCAGTGTAAATTCTCTACACATGAATGGTCGGAGAGATCCCCATACAGACCCACTTTATTATCTGGAATATACGGCTGTAAGGAGTCATGTGGTCCACCTCTGCCAATCACAGTGGAGCAACATATAAATCGGTTAATGAGTTGGTCTCCTCTATACCATAGTAAAACTCCAATAGTCCGGCATCCAATAGTCGGGCACTCCTGATAGTCCGGCATCAAAATGGCAAGAGCCTAGTGAGTGAGCTTCGGCAAAAAATGAGTCACAAGGTAACAGCGGCAGCAGCTGAACTGAGCAAAAAGGGTAAAAAAGGCTTAAAAAAACGAAAACATTACAGTATACTGTATACAGTATGTCCAATAAAAAGGGTTAAGAACACTTTATATACAGTATATAATGTATACAGTATATATATGCATCTTATAGTACCTCCTGATAGTCCGGCATATCTGATAATCCGGCACCACCTAGGTCCTATAGGTTCTGGATTATCAGAAGTCTACTGTATATGGACCACCTACTCTGATCACCACTCCCTTCACAATAGAAGACCAAATGTGTTTCAAATTCATATGAATTTCTCATATGCAAAGTATTCTTCATCTGAGCTAAATGGACAACAAAGTTCAAGTTGCCCAAAAATCTTGGTTCTGTGTGTTTGGTTCAGGCCCACCTCTAGTGCTTTCTTTCTCCAGAATCTGACACAGGGAAATTTTGGACCACTGGATTTTATGTGGCTCAGAATCCTGCAGCGGGCAGTGCATGCCGTGAGTCTACTCCTAGACATTTACCAGACAGGTCTTTGATGGATAGCCAAAGTTGCTTCCACCAGAAGAGACGGACCTGAACGAAAGCCCTCAGAGCTATACCCTGAATCTTGCAAGGTGCCGCTCTTTTCTATTTAGGACTCTGTCCGGTTCCATGCCCTCATCTGGCTTTCCTGGAGCACCACAACATAAAAAAATCCCAACAACTTACAGTGGGTCCGACATCCCCTGGCGGTCCTCGCTCTCCACTGCTGCCTCGGGAACCCGTTATTCCTTGGAAACCCTGCAGAGATTTAATTGTGAGATGCAGCTGCAAAGAAGGTCCCGTCAGTTGCATGCTCTCTTCTCCTCCTACTGGAGGCTGACATCTCTCTACGACTTCAAGGGCACCAGCAGAATTGGTTAGAGGGCTCCGTTAAAGGCATGGTGCCCTTAAGGTTTATATCAGTGCATCATCCAAGCATGAACACAATGTTAAGAGACTATCAGGTATGAGTCATGTTCACATCATTCCCTGTTACTGTCTCAGCGATGGTCAGGGAGAGCAGATGTGAGTTGTGCTCATGACTTTCAGTGTGATTTTTACCCTTCATTTCTTAGCTCTTTCATTCTATATTCACATTATTTTAGTCTCTGCCCAGAGCACGCCCTTTTTTGGACAGTTAATGCCTCTTTTTTCTTTAGGGCCATGCTCCCCTCCAACATGTAACTGTATGAATAATGAAGAATTGTTTAAAGAAAGAAAATAACCTGCATTCGGTGGACGTCTCCTTCTGCTCCCCAGGTGTGTTTATGCAGTTGCCAGAATTGTATAGGAAAAGGGCCAGTTATTTGCCACATATTTGTCATTTTCCACCCACTGGGTTCCAGCCAATCGTGACTGACAGGTAGGTAGTGGAGTAGGGGAAACGAGATGGAGGTTTCGATGCAATTCCTAGACCGCAGGTGGCATCTTGGCTATTGCAAGGCTGGTTTGGTGGGTCATACTGGGCCTCGGTGAACCTGGGTTCATGTCTCATGTCTGCCTGTGGCTCAGTAATAGGTCCCTGAGCCTCTCTCTCCCCCAGCCAGGCTGGCTGCCAGCAGTGGAGGGGCAAAGAGAACAACTGCCCCAGGGCCTGGTGGTACAAAGGGGCATGGGTCTCCCAGCCACCACTGTTGCTATGGCAACACTGGAGGCAGCTCTGGGCCCTTTAAATGGCTGCCAGAGAGCAGCGTGGCATGGCACTGAGGGCTGGGAGGAGGGGGCCGTGCCACGGTTTGGCAGTGCTGAGGGCTGACTGCCCTCAGCTCCTCCCCTTCCACCTAAGGCCCTGCCCCTTTTGGGGCCATGGAGCAGGCGCCCCCCAACTTGCCCAGGGGCCCAGTGAGACTGTCGCCCCCACTGCCCTCAGCTCCTTATCTGTAAGGTGGGGAGATAAAACATCAGTGCCCCCCGTGGTGTTGAGAGGCACTGGATGCTAATGTGATTGGGTCCCTGTAAATACATAGAGAGTGCTGTCCAGGGTGAAACTGAAGTTTGGGAACAGCTCAGATCCCACCATCTTGGGCAAGTTCTTGGTTGGCGTCATGTCCCGCTCCTGCTGGGGACTTCTGTCTGGCATCCTGTAGGCCTCCAACTCACCCACCAGCTAAGAAAGATGTAGCCACCTGGACCACCTCTGGCAAAGCACATGTCCCTCTACTGCAGTGATGGGCAACCAAGGCCAGTCAGAGGACTGCATGAGTGGGCCACAAGGTTGAAATCCACTGGTGGGCAACCTGTGGTCTGCAACCCCCATTGGGTTTCCACCTTTCAGAGCTTGAATGCCATCGATCAGCCAATTCACAGCACTCCAAAAGTGCTGGGCAGGAAGGGAAGCAGTAAGTAAATACGGTGCCCCAGAGTGCGAGAGGCTGAAGGAAGGGGGCAGAGAGGGGGCACACGGGCTGCAAGAGGAGGTTGCCCACCACTGCTCTACTGCTGCCCACTAGAGAAGTCTACTACTGCTACCAGCTCATGGAGTAGCTCCTTAAGCTGAAGCAACAGAGGTCTCTGCTGCAGTGTGGAAAGTCTCTGGTTCTAATCCTGTGACAATCCATGCGGGGGACGCTTATGTTGGCTCTCTGGAAAATGCAGGAAGTGAAAGTTGTTGCGGATGACAAGTTTTATACTGACATTTCGTACCAGCTCTTACCCTGGGTCCTGGTGGCCCCGGAGGCCCTGCTGTGCCTTCCAGTCCTCTCACCCCCTGCAAACCCAACAGTGTGTTAACGAGCGGGTCCACACCCCATCCGTGAGAGCTGAGGGCGCAGGGATGTGACCCTGCCTCCCTTAACCATGGCTTCCAAAAGGAGCACAACATCTGTCAAACATGCCAGAATCTCGGCCACTGCTCAAGTGCATAAATCTGTCTGGAGAATATTTGGGCCAAATTTGAGAGGTCTGGATCATCAGCTCACCTAGCCCTGCTGCTGCAGGCTTGCCCTGGGCTAGCAATAGCAACTAGAGGGCAGAAAGTAGAGCAGAGTGCGAATGCTGCCTCTTGACAGCAGAACATCCATGCTCGCTCCAAGATGACCCCAAAGCTCTTGGCTAGGTAAGGTGCCATGAGGGAAGCCCCCAAAGAGTAAATCTCTAATCCACAATCTCAAGCCAATTCCTCTCCCCTCCCCCGTACGCTTTGCCAAGCACTTTTTGCCGGAAGTGGTACAGTAACCATCTGGCTAAACTTTTGACACCTAAGTGAATGAAGCTAGGCACTCAAATCCATATATGCATCCGTAAAAGTGGGCCAGATTTCAGAGATGCTGTGCAACCTCAGTTTCCCCCCATCCACATCTCAGCCTATGGCTGCTCAGCATCTTTGCAAATCAGGCCACCGATGGAGTGTGAGGCGCCCAGGTTTGAAAATCAGGGCCTGCGTGTTTTACCTTTGCTCCCTGAATACCATCTCTGCCGGGAGCTCCCTGGGCACCAGGAACACCCTGGAAACAGAACTGCTGGTTAAGCCTGGCATCCAGCAATTACATCCCACATCACACTTCTAATGGGGGAAACAGAGGCCACCACCAAAGAGGACAATCAAGCAGAGCTTGAAGAAAGGAACAGAGCATTAATACGCCAATGAAAGCCCATTTTCAACCTGCTCCATTTTCAGGTATTTGAATCTGAACCCAGCCTTTACCCCTCATTCACCATCATCAAATCAGATTCCTCTTCTCCCCCCCACCCCCACTCCCGTGCCTAACGTTTTAATAGCACCTTCCACAACAGAGAGAATTTTACAGGCCCAACAGGATTTGTTGCCTTTACTGCACTGGGGATAGTTAGGAAGTGGTAGAAAAGAGGTGTGGAAATCAGGCTGCTGGTTTCTACTGCTGGCTCTGCCATTGCTTTTCTGTTTGTCCCTCGCCCTGTTTATTCTTCTGGGAAAGGGGCCCAATGTTACTTGCAAAGGTGGTGGCAGGCTGAGCTCATTCACGCGTACTGAGCTCCCGTGCAGGCTCGGATGCGAGCGCACAATAGCAGTGCAAGGCGTTCCTGCCGACGTCCTGCACGGAGAAGAGGTCTCCGAGTGCAATAAAGGCCGCTAATTCCTTGGATTTCGAAAGGAGAGCAAGGAAATAGGTAGCTATTGAGTGAAAGGAGGGATGCCGACTAGTTTACCTGCATGCCTGGGATTCCAGTGTCTCCTTTCTCCCCTTTAATTCCAGGGGGGCCCTGGAATCAAAAGGTAACAAAAGCATTGTGGGAATTCTGCGCCGGCCCTCAAGTCGGGCAGCCGTCTCTCTGCCCATGGCTACTCATCACAGTAGTCAATTCAGCAGGGCCACAACCCCAGCACCTCCACACCCCTCCTGACAGGATTTGTGCCCAGAGGGATCCTGCACATCTCCACACCTGCCACTTTAGCCTGGCCTGTGAGTGCAGGCAGGCATCTGTGTGTGTCTGCACCTGCATCCCCACTGCTTCTCCCACCAGGATGACTGTGCTACTGACATTTTAACACTCCCTTGGGCTCTTCAAGGCATCCGCTCTCCCTTCCCCTCTCCATCGTGGCCAGATTTTAACCCAGAGTGACTCAGTGTAGGGTTTTGTCAACACAAGGAAAACTAGCCAGCCTTAAATAACACCAGGGCTGCTAGTCGTAATCGCATTTTAAGCACTGGCGTAGATAGGACTCAGGTGTTTCTAGCACTACATCTCTGTAACAAACAGAACCCCACACCCTCTCCCCCATACCGATGCCTCCATCAGACAGCACAAGCATTGGGGTAAAAGCAATGGGAGAGATTACGTACCACTGGCCCCTGCACGGTGATTCCTTGGGAGCCTGGGGACCCTTGTTGTCCACCAGGACCCTCGGGTCCGACTTGTCCGGGGGGGCCTGGCTCACCCTAAAACCAGTCCAAAAAATGAAAGCAAATGTGGGGAGGAACACCAGCAACTTCTGCCTGCATGGGCTGCGCCATCCAACCTGCGTCAACACAAAGCAGCTACGGGATGCAAAAGGAAGAGGCAAAGTCTGGAAGTATCCGGTCTCCTCAGCTGCACAGCCCTTTGCCTGTGCAGACCTAGGTTTTGAGCTGGCTTCCAGGGAAATCATTGGCAGAATTCCCACTGGTTTCCAGGGAAGCGGGAGCAGCCCAGGACTACAGCAAATTATTCTAGTTACTGCAGCTGGTCAAAAAAGGAGGGGAAAGGTGCCGCAAAGATTTAGCTGGAAACCATGTCCATTTTACAACAATGACTTTTTTCTGACCAGCTCTGTCAGTGCGTCTACACTGCCCCATAACTCAAAATAAGATATGACATTTGAGCTACGCAGTGAGGCTATTTTGAAATAGCTTATTTCGGCATTTGGCGCTGTCTACACAGTGCCAAATTTTGAAATTAAGTGCTATTCCAAAACGTCCCTTACTCCTCGCAGAACGAGGTTGACAGGGATGTCAGAATAACAAGGCCAAAATAATGGGCTTGCTGTGAAGATGCAGAATAGCTGTTTCAGGATACTCCAGAATCCCAAAATAGTGTTTCAGTATAGACGTATCTTCACTGACGTTAGTTTCTGTGCAGTTACTTTGAAAATGGAAAGCTGGGGGTTTTCCCCCCTCTTGCTTCTTTACTGGATTCTCTCAATCATGCTTTTTCAGGTAACACAAGCAATGAGTGACTCCAATTTGTAAATGCCTGGGGTGTGGATTTCCATGTTTCTGCCACCACCCAAAGTCCAGGCTGTTCAGATCCAGCATTTTGTTTCATGTTTGTCTCTGCTCCTGCATCCAGTTTCTGTGGCTCTCCCTGCATTTCACACCTTTCACAAACACACCATGGTGCAGGGTCACATCAGCCATGCCCAGCAGGGAGAATAAGAGCAGCACAAAACTGGGATGGATGTTTTCTGATGGAGCTGGACTGCTTTCTTTATAAAGGAAGTTTTTCAGACACATGTAAGCAACATAGCGAGGTGTCTGAAGAATTCTGGAGCAGGGATTGCACAGCTCTGAGCACCCACTGGGGGCCTAAATAATCATATAATCTCCAGTTTGATTGCACAGATTTTCATTGGAGTTTTAAAAACCTACGGATCTCTGCCCTAAGCCATAAGAAGGCTCAGCCATTAATGTAGGGATGAATTCAGATGTGGGGTAAGTGAACGTAAATCTACTGAAGTTAATGGAGTTGCATTTGCTTTCCCCTGGTGTGCAGTGATGGGCAACCTAGGCTCGTGAATGGGACACAAGATTGTGTAGCCAAAACAGTCTCCCGGGACAGGGCAGTTTTACTAACTGCGCTGGCGGACCTAGAAGTTGCGGGCTGTGCCGATTGGACTGTAGCAGGGCTTTGATTGGCTGAAGAGGGAGTGCCCGGCTCTTACAGTCAGTGTGGTGCGCAATCAGCAAGCACCTCACTTCACGCCCTTGCTTTCCATACATGTCAATTTAGTGATACTGGTAGGAAACCCGCCCCCCACAAAATCTGGCATCCCTGCACATAGGCAGTGGTAAACAATGTCTCATAGGCCATACATAGATCCCCAATGGGCCGCATGTGTCCCTCAGGCTGCAGGATACCCACCACTGACCTAGAGGCTTATAGCTGCCTGAAAGAAAATCAGTCTCAGAGGGTTGTCCTTACTCACCTTCAGCCCTGGTTCCCCTTGTTCCCCTTGTGGGCCTCTTCTCCCAGGACTTCCCTGCCAAAGTGGGACAAAGCACAGGACGCTTTTGTGATCCATATGAAGCCATGTCTGTGCCGCGATAGCGCTTTGGAACCTGAGGGAAGGGCCAGCCCACCAGTGCCAAATGCTGTCCACACACAGAATAAGATGCTCTCAGCCCCAAAGAGCTTGAGAGCGGGGGAAATAACCAACAGCGCAGGGAGCAAAAGGCGACAGCAAGAGACTAGTCAGTGTGAAAAGCAGCGGTCACTGTACACCAGCTACTGGACCATCCGGCACTGCAGACGTTAAAGGAGGGCCATGAAGGAAGGACGAGGGGTCTTTGCAGATGCTTATTTCTTCCAGGCATGAGGAGCAGCATGGGAGAAAGCCTGAAGTTGCTTGGTTTTGTAACTAAAAATCTCAGGGGGGTAGCTGTGTTTGTCTGTAACTTAAAAAAAACTGTCAACAATGAGTGGGCCTGTAGCGCCTAAGGTCGTGTCTACACTGGGGAGTTATTTTGAAAGAACAAGGTGAGCTTCCACATTACCAAGCCTGCTATTTCAAAATAATGGGCTGGTTGTTTCGAAATAACAACTCCTGCTTGTGAAGAGGAATATGCTTATGTCAAAATAGTTAGTTCGGGAGTTATTATTTCAAAATAACTTAGTATCATAGAACACTAGAACTGGAAGGGACCTCGAGAGGTCATCAAGTCCAGTCCCCTGCCTTCACGGCAGAACCAAGCACCATCTAGATCAGGGCTACTCAACTATGGAAGCCCCGGGGGCACTATGATACTTTCAGCACGTGCTGAAGGCCGCAACTCAAATGTGGTTGCATGTACATGCAAATATATATGCAAATAGCTTCTTTCACACTGAGAGACATGAATACAAACATCAAGGCAACACTACACAACATGCAGGCCCCATTTAAGTCAGTTCTGCTGATACTAACAAAATGCAATAGTTACCTGATTTCCACCTATATGACAGCACTTTTAATGAACAATGTTAATCTAGGAATCGAACTACTAAAACGCATAACAACAGAAGATCATTATATTGACTTGCTGTTGTGGAACATGTTCCCAGTGGAGGCCATGTTCAAAGGATCCATGGGCTGCGTGTTGAGCCCCATGTAAACCCAAACTACACTGCAGGTCAAAAACAAAGTGGCTCATGGGCTGCATTTTGAGTAGCCCTGATCTAGATCATCCCTGCTAGATGTCTATCCAACCTGCTCTTAAATATCTCCAGTGATGGAGATTCCACAACCGCCCTAGGCAATTTATTCCAGTGTTTAAGCACCCTGACAGTTAGGAAGTCTCTCCTAATGTCCAACCTAAACCTCCCTTTCCACAATTTAATCCCATTGCTTCTTGTCCCGCAGGATTGGCTGCGGGATCTTGGTGGCAGGGGTGTGTGTGAAGGGGATGGGGATGCGGGGTCTGAGCATGATGGGGATGAGGGTTGCTTACCTGGCGCTGTGCCTCCTGCCGCTCCCAGGTACCGCCCCGCACTGCACCCATTGGTTGTTATTCTGGCCAATGGAAGCAGTGGGGAAAACCTTCAGGTGGGTGGTTTCCAGCACTGCCATTCCACTAGTTTGGAGGAGCAGCAATGCACGGAGCCATTTCCTTCCTCCTACAAGCTGGATCTGGCCCACAAGGCTTGCCCCTCCTCCCCCCGCGTCGGGGAGCTGGTGCTTAAACCTCAGGAGGGAGGAGGTGTGGAGCTGGAGCGCCCGTGCAGTCTCCCCATTGAAGGAAGAGGGCAACCCCTAGCCTGAAGCTCACCTGCACGATGGTGGTCCATCGACCACACTTTGAGAACCACAGCCCTATGGCAAGCTCCCCAATGGTGTAAGAGAGATCAGAACCAGACCCTCTATATTTTCACATATCCCTTAAAAAGGAAAGGCATTACATGGGACCATGGAAATGCAAAGGAAACATTTTGGCAGTGCCCTGAGATTACACACTCATTTCTCAAAGTGCTTCTCAGGGAGCAAAGCTGATTAATCTCTGTTCCCGCCACTTGCAGCATGATGTGGCCAGAACAGCGTCTTGTGCTGTGACTGACTCTACAGAGCCCAGATTCTACTTTACATAATCTCCCCAGGAACACACTAGCAGCACGGAAGGATGCTGTATCCAGGGAGGCCTGGCTTCTCTGCACATCTGCAGAACCACTGGATCTAAGAGAAATCTTAATTTTCTCACATGTGCCGGTGCTGTGCGAATTATAACGTGTTCATCGGACAGTTTCTGCTCTTGAATTGACACAGCATTGGGTGTGGATGAGGCAAGTCTGAATCGGAGCTTTGCTGGAGGTTGTGGAGGGGGTACTCCAATGGGGGCTCTCCCAGCTCCAAAGGCGCTCATTAGGGAAAAGTGATCATGCAGGAGACATCCTGGCTCACAGTGGAGAAACTTTGGACCTGTTAGGAAGTGTCTTGGCCCTGGAGCCAATCAATTCATACTGCTTGAAGCATTGTGAGTCATAACTGTACACCCGATCACACTGACAGAACTCCTTCCCCCTACACACACACTTTCTTAAAGTGCACTGATGAGCCAATTAAAATGGAAGGCCACTTGGGGTCACAACCACACATGGAGCAGAGTAGTGCATGCAGTGGGGAAGCAGTGTGTGGTGTAGCTAACCCTACCTGTGGAATTAACCTCTAGTTACTATGTTACAAATGGTTGTTCCTCATTAAGGATGGCATTGAGCTCACTGACCCCTAGTGTTTAGAAAGTTACAGTGTGCCAGTCCTGTTCATTGGCATGATCAGGGCACAGAGGCTGTTGTCTGGTCCCCTCGGACCAGGAAGATGCGATGTCAAACACAGTCAGGGTCAAGCTCCCCTTCTCAGGCCTTTCGCTTTATTTCTTCCATATAAAATAAACACGGCACAATTGTTCCTTCGTTGTCATCAGGGTCTTCCTCGGGGACCTAGCTACCTCCTGCATGGTTCCATATTACAGGCCACGTGTCTGAGAATTCAGCCCTGCTCCAAGGCTGCCATGGGAGCCAGCTGGCTTCCTGCGGGCCTGTTCCCTAACTTAGTGGTTTCTGATCAGTGCCTCTGCTTCCTGGCAGCAAAGCTCTCCCCTCCGCTGGGCCTCCTGCCAGCTCTGTAATCACCTGATCGCTAGCTGATCCATCTCAGCGGGGAGGGAGCTGATCCCTTAGTCTATGTCTACACTGCAGGTTTTTTGCAGCAAAGGAAATGCAAATGGA